TCAGGAATCATCTTGACAACAGCAACCTTCTATATCACACAGTCACAAATGGTAGAAGGGCAGGATCCCATTTTAAAAAAAAGAGTAGATACTTACACATCCCTCAGATTATTCTAGTTTTGAACCCAATCCCAGTCTTCCCCCTAAAGTAAGAAAGTATTATTGTGCTAAAAAGTCTGCAAGCTGGGACATGGGCTGGCTTTCAGTAACTATTCTTAAAGTCCACCTATTTATGCCAAAACCATGACCCCATCCTGCAGCCAGGCCCAGTGAAATAAAGTTATAATTTAGAATATCTTCTATAGAAGCCAAGTTTATGATGTTAAATTAAAAAAAAAAAATGCATGCAGACTTTTTATTTATGAAGGTACCAGCCTTCTAAAGTACAGGGCTTTGTTACATCAGCTATACAGAAAATTGTCCCACATAGTAACAGTTTATTTTGATTTTAATTAAAAAGTACCCAAATACTTATTCTTTTTAAGAACATATAGCAGTAAAGGTGTGAACTACATTTCCCATTTCCTTCAAGAAGGCATTAGTCCCAATAAGGATTTGGCATTCAATGAGAGAAAACACATACACACCCCCAATTGTCTTGTATTTAACCTGTATCCTATTTCAACATAGGGGAATACAGACAGAAAGAATTGCCAGAGCTAGAATTTTGCAAAAGTACTGGGGTTAACAATGCATACTCTTGCAAAAGTTGTCATCTCACTTACACGGAGGTCAGGACCAAGTCTGCGTCTGATCTGAAAAATGGTACCTTGAGCAGAAATGCACCCAACAGCACCAGGCTCAGTCTGATGCAAATTTCACAAATTATTGCTAAACAAGATTCTTTCATGTTTCTGGGTGGGGAAAGAAATTGGGGTTCTAATTCCCGGTTTTGGCCTTAATAGTTGGCTTTGGGGTGGGGCTTTTTGCATTTGAAGTCTGGTGTTTTTTCATTAGCTTGACAGAGAGGATGGACAAGTGGCTCTTTGGTTAAACTGCAGTACAAGCCATTTGGCAGAAGGTATTGTGTAATGTCTATGCTTACATCTCCTGCCCCTCCCCCCAAGAGATCAAGGTGGTACCTTTATGATACTCAGCCTCAAAAAGACTATAGTGATTAGTTTAATACCATATTTATTATTTAGAGTACTGTAAGAATACACATCACTTTACAAACACATAAGATGACACAGACCCTGCCCCAAGGAACATATGGTATAACTCAGACAAATACAAAAGGCAAAGAGGAATGACCACAGCACTGGGAGGGGATTAATGCTTCAAGGTGAAGAGAAGTGGATTTAGAGGAAGTAAAGGGAGGTTTGCTTGGCACATGGGAAGTTGTTCCAAGAATTGGGGGGGGGGGGGGGGGGAAGGACAACAGAAAGAAAAGGATTAGGTGGAGTGCAGGACAATGGGTGTTGAAGTGAGCACAGAGATGGGGTAGATAAGAATATGTATCTATAAAAGCAGTCACTGTTTCAGTTAGTTCCACAGAAGTGAATGTTGTGAAGTTTTCATTGAAAGGTCCTGTTTTACTGCCACTTCCCAGCAGAAACACTTATCTAGTGATGTAGATTAATAAATTCATATTAATAACACTGCACTTCCAGATTGGAATACAGATTCATGTGGATACAGGCAGCCAGGAAAGTATCACTGAAAGTGTAGCTACAAAAATATTGTAAGTATCTGCTTTGTCCTGCATTCCAATGTTTGTCTCTGTATTCTGTCTCCTAAACTAGTCAGCTTGTCAAAATGGAAGCTTTCTACTTTACTGATGTTGTTTTAATTATAGTCTCATTATTTTGCAGTTTTCCTCTAAAAGACCTGTGGAGTAGAGGCTCACTATGCTGGGGGCGGTTATATTAATTACTGCAAAAGTGTTTAGGTCAGAATGAAACTCTCAGCAAAGTTTGCCTTTGTTTTCTGCAAATAGCCACTGGCCAACCAGTTATAGATTAAGGCCTGTTTTCCATACAGCTTTTGATTTTCAGAATCCTAAATAAAAAAGACCAATCATATGCAAAAAAGTACCCCTATCAATGCCAGGAGCCACCCCACAATGCATGCACACTTTCTATGCAGGCACCTCTTAAACACAGACTCTCAGAGGCAGCCACATCATAGCAACAAGCATTTGCAGACCAGCTGTGGTCCAGTCTTCTGTTTCCAGACATACAGGGGACATACACTGATGAGATGAGCTGTCTCTTTTGGATTGGAAGTGCGTGGAGTTGTGAGTGATGCACAGAAAGCATCTGAATGCTAGAAAACTTTTCTAGCAATTGGAGATTATGAAATTGATGCAATTTATTTGCCAGAATTTCAACATTAATGCATTTAAAGGAGCTGCGCACATGTATTAGGGTTTCTTCTCTGGATCATGCCGCTGGACACACTGAGGACAAATACCTCATTAAACTCATTCTGCTGTTAAGGAAACATGCTATCATAAATTAAGCTGCCCATGAACAAAACATGTTAGGTAGGAAGTGTCCTGGCAGAATACATTTCCATGATATACAGGTAAGGACTATATTCACCATTGTAGGGGTGGGAATATTTTGGTTGTCCGGTTAGACCTTTACATAGACATAAAGGTCTCTTGTTTCTCAGCACTTATACCACAATCACCACCATGGTATCTGAGCCCTTTACAATATTAAATATTCTAAAAAAGACCAGGAGTACTTGTGGCATCTTAGAGACTAACAAATTTATTAGAGCATAAGCTTTCGTGGGCTACAACCCACTTCTTC